CCCCCCCCCCCGAGGAATTCATCATCGATGGGCTACACTCACGTTTCTTCGTTTCTTTCTTCACGTTGTCGTCACACGTCACTGTTTCAGATGCAGATCGTTCACTGACATGGTTGAAGATGGTGCAGGTGACTTCGGTGTCCCCGTCCTGCCGCCTGATGGTGAACTGCAGCCTGGAGCCGCTTGTGGTCTGGTTCCTCACGGTCCAGTTGTAGGTGACTTTGCTGTCAGAGGCTGAAACGCACTCCAGTGAAACTGTGCAGGACTCGTTGGAAGGGAGCCAGGTGGAGTTGATTCGGAGGACGGGTGGAGTGAAGGGCTCTAATGTGCAGTGTGGAGAGAGCGAGACATTACAGCAGTCACTTGGTGTGTGGAGGTCGTTGAGCTCTTCTCTGAACCTGAAGCTGTGATCACACAGTGGAATAAAACCAAATGCACCTAAAGCACAAAAACTCACCAACTGTACGAGCAACAAATAAACTGGTCAACATCTCTAGAGTGTTGAGTCCAATATATTAACATTTCCTTTGCTTGTAGCAGAGCCTTCTGTGCCACTTGTAGTTTCAGGTCAGTAAATACCAACGAATACATGAAAATATTAAATTGACACTTGTTAGGAAACAGAGTGAACAAAAAGGAAATCATACCGTGAACTTGTAGATGGATGAAGACTGATTCTCTTTGCCGATCGTTTACCATTGACATAAATTTGAAAGTACCAGAATCTTGAAGAGTCAGTTTGTTCACTGTTAAACTAAAGTTTCCGAGGTTCAACTTTACTCTGTCTCTAAACTGAGTATGTTTATTTATAACCACCCCATTCATGTCTGCAATCAATATATCATTAAATTTCCACTTTGCTGAGGCGACGACATCACCAGGTGACAAGCATGATGAAAACTCCACGGTGTCTCCAACTTGTTTCTGGACAGTGAGGTCACAGCTGGAAGCCTCCACATCTGGAACACATCAGCGAATACCTGAGTGGAATCTGTCTGAAACGGCAGATTCTCATTTCAAAGACAAAATGGCTGAAACAGTAACTTCAGTGAAACTCGACACGACATCATGTGATATTCATGAATTCATTAGCGGTGATGAGACATTGAGACATGAAACGAGGACATATATATATACAGATTATAATGATTTGTTTCCTTTGGTCCTTTGGTGTTGTGGTGTTCCCCCTCCCCCCCCCAACATCATCGTCTTCATGACCAAAGCTTTGGTGACATCTTTCCACGAGAGGAGAAGAAACGACCAAAGACACTGACCACAGTGACGAACAGGAAAGATTGTTCTATTCACGGCTCTTCTTCTTCTGCTGCTGCTGCGTCTGTCACCCAGGAAATTCATGGTTTCACAGTTTCTGCCGTCACGCTGTGTGTTTGAGTCGAACGAGTATAACAGTGTGTACTTGCAGTATACGACACACATATTTAAAGTACTGGTGGCTTGTACATGTGCAGTGGTGAGTTTTCAATCTCAGAAATCTACTTCTGCAAAGGTCCACACCCCACTTGTTCCTTGTCTGAGCCGTTACTATAGAGACACTGTCCGTCCAACTGTGGTTTGTCACAGTCGAGTCGAACAGAATTATGAAGTCAAACGTGACAAATCCTCCAGAAATAGAAACGATGACACATCCCTGACTTGTGTCAAGTTTGTTTCCAGGAAGGTTCAACAGAAAAGTTGCACACAAGGAAAAAAATGAATGAAAATACAAATCTGTAAATAATCACAGAGTAAAACACCTCATGAAGTTCTAAAAACTCAAATTCATGTCGTCATGACTTTTTGTAAATGTTCTTTCGACACAGCCTCGATTATATTTCTTCCATTTGGACGCAGCTGTTCTCACGTCAGTGTCTTGCATTTGCAAACTCCCAGGAAGAAAAACACTGTAGAACTTCTTCATCAAAGACATTTCAAAGGCGATCCAGCAGCTTCTGCACCTTTATGCTCACACTGCTCGGAACAGGAAAACATAACGTACCATGGAAGCAAACCCCGAGAAGCAGCACGAGAAACAGCAGCTGGCTGTGTGTGAGGCAGCAGCTCAGGCGACGAAGACGACCACCAACCATCTCTGTGGGAAGAAGAACGACTTCTGTTTCCTCTTCTGGTTGATCGAACCATGCTGTGACGAGTCAGCACTAAAAAAAGAGACAGAGAGAGAGAGAGAGAGAGAGAGAGAGACAGGAAGGTTTTTATTCTTATCAGTGAAGAAGCAGAAGAAAGTGACCTGGCCTCACTCACTGTGAAAAACTAACAAGGTTCATTAGAAACAACTCAACTGGAAAGAATTGAAAGAGTTTGACAAAGTGGTGTCAGATATTTTGACCAGTGCCGTAAAAACACAGAGCTGGCAAAGCAAGCCTGGGGCTCCCAGCCGAGAGGGGGCCCGTCCAGAAGAGCTCATTACGTTAGTCCAACGTAAAGTCAGTGATCAGTTATAGAGACGTTATATTGGAGACAACCCCCCCCCCCACAAAACCAAAACAAACCAGACCCATCACACCTTCTGCCAGAAGCTTCGTCATGTCCAAGGTTTGGTTGAAGACTAGATATTTAAATTAAATGTGTTTAAGGGTTTGCACATATTCACTTATTGTTTATGTACTTATTGTTTATGTACTTATTGTTTATGTACTTATTGTTTATGTACTTATTGTTTATATACTTATTGTTTATGTACTTATTGTTTATGTACTTATTGTTTATGTACGCAGGAGGCTGGAACCCCCCCCCCCTTTACCTGGAACACTGTTATTCATGTTCTCGGAGTTGAACGGTTTTGCATCATGTGTTTCTCGATCAAACCACTGGTGGTTGAAATTCATTGTCTCCTGAATGAACTCGTTTCAACTTGTTACTGCACGAGACGTGTTTTATGTTTTTATGTCTGTGAGCGACTTTGTAAAGCTGATTTTTGAAATGTGACTAAAGTTTATTATCATGTACAATGTGCAACACTCTCCTCTCGGCCGCAGCTCTTTCAATTTCAAACATTTTTCTAGTTACATTATTTTATTTTTTAAATATTTCCGTTGAGCCGGCTGACCATTTAGGAGCGTTTGCGTGTTTGCTGACTTTTATTTGGAAAGGAGAAGTGATGTGTTGACAGTAAAGTGATGCTGGACAGTGAGACACCAAAGAAACAGAACAAGAGACGACGCGTTTAAGAGACGTGTGGAGCAATAACCCGAAGAGTTCAACAGTGTTACTGTGTTTATTTCACAGCAATATTTCTAACAATCAGGTTTCAAGTTGTCAATTCACATTTGTCTGTGATTAAAACACAACGAAGCAGAAGACACACACAGACGTTGCATGATGTCAGAGCTGAGCAGGAAAAACCACCTCAACATTATCCAGTGATCATAAACGTGCATCACATGAAGCCACAGATGCAAACAGCCACTGAAGCAGTGAGCTGCCTCCTCCATCCACCCAGAGGAAAACTACAGAGCGCCATCAAGTGGCTGCAAATACAAAGTGAAAAGTGACTGATATAGAGAGAGAGAGAGTTAGGCATATATATATATATATATATATATATAAATATATGAACTATATATAAATATATGAAAAAACTGTTGAGTAAAGATCTCTTTAAAGCAACACTATGTAACTGTTACTGAAGAACAGCACCCCCTGCAGCCACATGTGATGACTCACTCTTTTGGGCTCCGTGTCCCAGCGACTAACTAATTTTCATGTTGAGAAAAATCCCCCATGATCCTCTGCTTCCTGACCCAGAGGAGCTGCTGCTGTAACAAACTGCTCAGATTCTTCATGTTTTAAAGTTTCTGCTGAACATTGGAGATAAACTCTGGTTGTTAAGAACTGATCCCAGTTCAGCTTCACTCTTCAGCTGATGGAGACTCTCAGTCACTTGTTCTCTCAGGAGATGAACCCACTCAGCAGAGAGAGAGAACAGACGCTCAGGGAGCGAAGGAGGAAACGTTCTCCACCTTCACTCATCAGACTCACTTTGATCAAACTGAGGTTTAAGGTAAAGAAAATTACATAATGTTGCTTCAACAACAGATGAGAAACAACTCTCTGTCTCGAGCCCCTTTTCACTTGTTAGACTGGTTTTAAAACCCACCAACATAATGATTACAGCAGCAAAACTATGTCCTCGTGCTGGAGGAAGCTCATTTGCAGCAGACAGTTGGTCAGACATCGAGCCGACTGATTTATTGGTTGGATAAAAATATGATCCTTTCACTGACGTGTTGCATCAGTGTTTATTTGCTGATCTGCACAGAAACTAAAACATTTATTTGAAAGAACAATGCAGAAAATATTCATTCAAGTTCTCTATATTTGATTGAATGAGTGTTTTATTGCTATTTATCGTAAAGTTTATGGTTAAAATTACATTTCTTCACCATCAGGATTTGATAAGATTATTGCAATAGATAATTCAAAGACAAGCTGCAGAGCGCCACCATGTGGCTGATGATGTAAACTTGCAGGTGTGAGAAAAGTATCATTCTTAGGTCACATCACACGGAGACAAAGGTTTAAATGAACGACTGAAGAGTTTCCACAATAAAACAAACCTTCTTGTCTTCACTTGAAAGCCGGAGTCTTCGGTCAGAACAGAGAAAAATCCAGCAGCTGCAGAGACAAGCTGACAACTGCAGACTTGAGTAATTGGCTGATGAGACACTGGTGGGACCAACGACAAGAACTGCCACACACACAGGAAGTCAACGACACTTAGGGCCAGTGATTTTCAAAATGAAACAGGAAATGGGATTTCACAGTTTAATAAAGTAAAAGAAAGAACACATTCATTTGCGTATTTGAATTATAATCCGTTACTTTTAACAACAGTTCATCACAAACTACAACTAAAAGCAAAACTGTCTGCAGACGAGTGTATTCATGGAGCTGAGAATTACGAGCAATGGGAATAATCCCAGATAACCACAGAGTGTTTATAGAACATATCATTTCTGACATCGTCATCCATTGAGCCATTTGGGAACAACAACAACGACATATATATACGTACGAATGGAAAACATCACAGGTCGCATTCAAAGTTTGGTTGAAAAAATATACAGAATAAGAATTTGAGCCGATCAATATGAGTTTTAAGTCTTTTAAGGGCCGATGTTGATACAGATATCAAGGAGTAAAAAACTATCATGAGTAAAAACTATCGTATAAATATATATATATATATTAAAGAAATAAAGATAAATTGAAAGATAACAAATATTTACAGAATATATAGAATTGAGACAAAAACATGTTCAGTGTAAAATACAATCATAACTGCACATTGTTTATGGTGTAAAATAAAAGTGTTCATATCAGCCACTTGATATATTGAACTAGACACAAAAGCAAAGATCACAGCCTTTCTTTTTTCTTTGATATGAAATTCAATCCAGATGACGTCATTCTTCCCAATGAGCTGTTACCAGACTGTTGAGTGGAATATTTGAAGGATGAAAGTTGATTTTCATGTTCTCGTTTTCTCGAGGATGCACCATTCATAGTGGGCCTGAAACAAAATGACAGGAACTGCAAATTTCTAAAATACACACTTGATACTTCAACCCTACAACATTATCCAGGCTGTTTATAGTTTTACTAAAAGGATTTGAAATTTGAGACACCAGTTGAACTGCATACTTATCGTACAAGAACTATTTAGTAATGATATGATGGCGTCTTAGTTGAGGTTTGTTTCAAATGCAAATTAGCCACTAGCTTAAGAGCTAGTTGTTCATATTTGTACCTGTACATTGATCGGCATTAACGTAGTCAGGCGTCTCCTCTGGATCACCTCGGGTTCCTGTGAAGATCAAACAGAAAACCACTTGAAAAGGTTCCCAAGCACTGTTTTATTCATTGAGTTCATGTCGTTGCCACTCTAATGTCACTATCACAACCAGCATCAGCAGCTTCAGGTGCTCCACATGTGTTCCACTGCAGCGTCCTTGTGTCCAGACATTTATGGACGCAGCAGTCCTCCAGAAAAGTGTTTTCACAGCACAAACCGATCCATGGTTCAGTTTGATCTGGAGACCACCTCGTTGGGTCTGACTACATTCTGGTGCATTGGTCTGGACCACAGACTGTATATAAAGGTCTGGACCGGGGTCTGAGGCACCTTCACACCTGTTATTTTGGTTCAGACTAAACTGAAAAGTCCAAATGTCTTTCTTTGGGACGACTGAAAGCATCACACCTCAGTGGAAAAGCTTCCCAGGAGAGTGGAGGCTGATTTAGCAGCAGATTCAATCTAGAGTTTTAAAATGACATGTTGGAAAATCACGTGTGTGCATTGATGTCAGGACATCGTGTTTGACTTTTCTGTACTCATCTGCCCGTCCACCTGAAATCAGAAGGTTTCTCATTTTGGACTTCTCTGCAGGAGGCTCATTTTATACAGTACCTTGCTCAGTGTCTTCAGAGCCTCTGATTGACTCATAGATGCAGTTGTCACCTACGAGTCAATCAAAAATCAAATCAACATCAAATGTCATTAGAAACTTTGTGACCAGGTTCTTATTCAAAGCACAAAACTGAGAAATGGCTGTGAAGGCATTCAGTATGAGAAGGAAGGCTGACCGTGGAGAAGAGACGAGTACACTGGCTCTTGGTTTTCATCCTGGTCGACAGTTTGCTCTGAGCTCTTTGACGTTCTGGACCAACACAACAGCAGCAGTGAGAGGAGGAGAATCAGTGTGATGCCACCAACCAGCCCGAGGATCAGAGGCAGAGGAAACGAAGAGCTCTCAGGCCTGGACGCTGCTAAAACACATCYTCTCTTTTATTTATGGGCTTTTGTTGTGTTTGTTATATTGACTGATGAATGTAAGAAGACATTTCTCTTTCACAAACCAAGATAACTAACAGGTGAACTCTTTCTGACTCAGCCAT